TGATTTTGCAATCATTTTTGATCATTCTCATTGTTTTAAAATCATTCATTGCTTGTTCTTTCTCATTTTGATCATAAAACTCCCTTGAGCTCTATTCTTGTGTCATTGATCAATACCCATAAGCTTCAACTTGTATAATCTATACTTTAAGAGTACAAATCCATTTCTAAACACTCTCATTCTGTTTATTTGAGTTGAGGGTAGTGAGACTCTAGCGTAAAGGTTGCTCATAGCCTTAGAAAGTGAGTGGAAGTGTAAGGGTTTCAAGAACCAAAAGTCTTGAAGGTTGTAGCGGTTTCTCAAGCACCCTTGAAGCTTGATCATTAGTGGAAAGTTGAACGAGTGGCTTCAATATGGACGTAGGTCATGGTGGTGGTGACCGAACCAGGATATACAGTGTTTGTAATCTCTCTAATCCTTTATCTCATTACATTAGCATAATTTGATTACTTGAGCTTATTTAGATTTACGCTTTGCATATTATTTCCTTGTATTGATTTATATTCTCTTAGCATTACTTGTGTATAAATCATATTAATTCAAGAAAATCTTTTTCAAGAAAAAAAGTGAGGCATTTTGCGAAAATATTTTTAAAACTCAATTCACCCCCCCTCTTGAGTTTGAGGCCACTTGTCCAACAGGTTTTTGATTACTTGTTCTATTTTTATAAGTAGTCGCTTGTTTCTTCCGGTTATAGATAGTTGACCAACTATTTCTTGCAAGAATTTTCATTGTTTTGGAACTCTTAATACAAAATGATTCTTATAGAAATTATTTCACATTGTTTTGAGAGTGATTGATAGAAGAACAATTTAAATAATTTAAAATTATAAAAAAATTGTTCTTCGTTCTCTCAAGATTTATGTTACTTAGAGTTTCATTTGAACTGATGAAGGAAGATATGAGTAGTGGTGTTCAAAATGTCCAAAAGAACTAAACCAATCTATAACCAGATTGCTCCACATTTTAAAAACCAGTTATGTTTAAAAATCGGTTTCATATGAAACTGTATTTTATTTTATAAACTGGTTATTTACCAAACCATAAAAATAATTGATTATCCATAACCAAACTGCTTCATAATTAAAGAACAAATAAGTAAATCCGTTGTGAGTTGTCCTTTTAACGATGTTGATTCACCGTCTTAAACATCTGAGAGATGTTAAGTCAATTGATTAATTTCATTGCCCTTTTCGTTTATGATTTTTTAACTTTATTTTTGTCATTTGAAAGTCTTTGTTTGGTCAAGCTGTGAGTTTACTCGGAGGTCTGTATGTGGTTTTTTTTTGTTTTTTTGGGAAAAAAGTTGTTACGTTACATAAGAAGTGCTTTCTAAGTATGCGATCTTTCGATTTATGTGTAATTTTTTTTTAAATAAATGTTTTCTACTTGAGCTACTTTAACTTTTTTTTGCTAGTTTATTGTTTGGAAGTTTGAGTTAATTGATTAATATAATAGGTATGATAAAAGATAATACTTATTTGTTCTTTAATTGTAAAGCAGTTTGGTTATGGATAATCATGGATAACCAATTATTTTTATGGTTTGGTAAATAACCAGTTTATAAAATAAAATGTAGTTTCATATAAAATCGATTTTTAAAAATAAGTGGTTTTTCAAATATGGAGCAGTTTGGTTATGGATTGATTTGGTTCTTTTGGACATTTTGAACACCCATATCCACCATGCTGCCGTCACCACCACCACAACTACTATCGCCGCCATCACCACCACTACTATCATAGTCACCGTCACCACCACCGCCACCATCATTGCAACCACTGCCGTCACCGCCACCAGCCACCACTACCATCGTCACAGCCACTATCGTCACGACCACCACCATTACACCACCCTCGCCACTACCATCACCACCACCACCACCACCATTGTCACCTACCACCACCGCCACCGCCGCAGCCACCACACCACCACCACCATAACCACCATGCCACCGCTACCATTGTCGCCGCCGCCAACTGCCACCATCCTCATTACCATTGTCGCAGCCACTGTCATCCCCACCACTACCACCGCCATCGCCACCATTACCATCGTTATCGCCGCAGCCACTGCCGTCACAACCACCACCACTATCATCACCATTTCACTGCCACCACCACTGCCGTACCGCCGCCGCCATCCCAACCACACCATATGAAAGGAAAGTGATGAGCTGAAAAAAAAAATTTAATAGGAATTATTTTTTATTATATTATTTGTTGGATTATCAAACATAATTCTCATTCTCGGAATAAAAATAGAACATGTTATTAAACATATTTTTTTTCTCAGAAACTATTCTAAGGCACAGAAATAGAAAATAATTGTTTCTTTTTGGAAACAGTGCTAGAGAATAGAATGATTGTCATGCACACCCTAACTAGCTACAGATGGGATATTACATTATAGAAAAAATGTGTATTATTTTAAAGGATGTAAAGTTGTATCATTTTAAGTAAAAGAAAGAGATAGATCATGTGAAAAAGAGAGTGGATAAAAAAAATAAAGATGTGGGTCACACTTTTTTGTATGAGTGAAATAACATAAATTGTGTCATTTAAAAGGACAAACATTTCCCCTTTACATTATTATAGGCCCATAAACAACAAATGTGTGCTAACTTAAGGTTTGGAATTGCCATTAGCTCAATAGCAACTCTTTTAGTTCAATATTATTTCCTTGAGTTAATTTAGTAATTTTATAATTAACTGCAATAGTACATCACAGTTAGACAATAAAGCTGATCTGGATTAATATTGCAATAAATACAAGGCCCAAATTACAAGAGGCCCATTCTCAAAGTCTTCACAATAAAGCAAAGCTTAGTCAAAGAAGGCTGCAATCTCACCTCTATAACAACAAGCTCATGACAGCCAGCAAGCTCCTTAATATTAATGGCCTTATGACAGCAAGCTCCACAATATTAAAGCTTATCTCATCAAGCTCCTCAACATTAAACATAGCAGCCCTATTACTTTGCCTCCTAGACAAAACAAACTTGATCACTAAGTAAAATCACCAAGCTGCTCATCTCTCTACTATAAATACATATGTATCAACACTAAGGTACTCATCTTCTTCTACATAATGAAACCTGCTTGAACCATAACTGACTTGAGCGTCGGAGTGTCTTGCAAGTACACCCCTCATCTTGTTCCATTGAAGACCCATGGGTTAAAGCTGCTCAACTGCAAGATGCTATGACCCAAGGTGGTTCCATGCCATTTGTGTAAAGGAAGATTACATGATCGGCCCAGTTGTAAAAACCTGTTCTGATCAAAAGCCCTGAATATTTTAACAAAAGAAAAGTCGCAATTTGGTAATACTATTCAACCCTTTTTAGCAGTTCGATCAAAATATATAGGGAAGAGTTCAACAAAAACTCTAGTGGTATTATTTTGAATTACTTACATCTTTATGCTTTTTTTATAATCAAGTGACTTTTTTCATCAACCCCTCCTTAACACTGTTAGAAAATTAAGTAAGTATACATATTTTACCCTTCTTAGAAGAAAAAAATAACATTGTTATGAAAACTTAGAACACTTAATAAAAGAGTAAAAGAAAAAATAGTAAAAAAAATTCAAATGTGTGAAATAAAAAAAGGAAATAAATGTATACAAAAAGAAAATAGAATAAGAACAAAAAAATAGAAGAAAAAATAAGACCGAATATATTAAAAATCACAACAACGACAGAAATGACTAATATTAAAAAAAATTGTCTAAATGAAAGAATATATATATTGAAGACAAAAAAACTAGAAAAAAAAAATCATTTATGAGTTTCCAATATAATAAGTTTTATTTTTTCTTTTATTTTTTTTTCTTTTGTGTCCTTGGTCTATTTTATTCTTTTTTATTTAGATATATTTGATCTTTTTTCTATTTTTATTTTTTTCACTTTTGGTCTATTGTGTTCTGATTTTTTCCTCGATTTTTTTTAGCTTTATGCCACCACATCTTCTACAAAAAGAAAGAAATAATAAAATAGAGATATAAAAAGAACCAAACATATCTAAATAAAAAAATAAATAGACCAAGAACAAAAAAATAGAAAAAAATAAAAGCAAATATATTAGAAATTCATAACTGTGATGTCTTATTTTTTATCTTAATTTTTTTTTCTATTTTTTTTCTTCAATATTTTTTTTTCTTCAATATTTTTTTTTCTTTCAGACTATTTTTACTTTTTTTTGTTACTATTAGTGTTTTTGCCACTGTTGTGGTTTTTAATATATTTGATCGTGTTTTTTCTTTTATTCTTGTGTTCTTATACTTTTATTTTTTTTATTTAGACACAACACATTTGATATTTTTTTGGTATTTTTTATTTTAGTCTTTTATTAAGCGTTATAAGCTTTCATAATATTTGGCCTTATTTTCCTTTTTTATTACTTTATTTTCTTCTTTTATGAAGGGTAAAATAAGTATATTTAATTAATTCTCTAAAAATGTTAAGGAAGGATATGGATAGAAAATATCACAGGAAATTAAGTGATTAAAAAAAAATAAAAGTATAAGTGATTTAAAACAATACCACATGAGGGTTTTGAGCTTTTCCAAAATATGTATTCCTTTACTCGAGAATTTTGCTTGAAGGCATACAGGTGCTCGTGTTTAGTTTAGGTGATAGATTTGGGTAACCGATGCTTTAGTTACACAAACCAGTTGCATTTTAATTTAACGATATTTTCACCCAAATAATCATTTTAGTCACCTTTTACTTGGAAAATGAAAACCATTATTTTAATCCATATATGTTTCGTAATTATTTATTTTATTTTTTTTAAATGTTTTTACACTTAATGATCCGTAGCTTTGAGCAAAATAAACATTCCAATTTGATTATTCATGGATTACACCAAACGATTATAGCTCCAAACTGATTTAAGACCCTATATGAATCTGGCGGCACACGCTTCTCATCATGCTAGCAACAAGAAGGAAAACTATTTTCAGTAGGCATAACAGAATCATGAAAGAAGACCTACAATTAAAAAGGTATCTTTCAAAAGGATCTAAACAAGTTTATTTACTAAAATGTTAAAAATGTGGTCATGCTTTTTGTTTTTCCATTTCAATGAAAGCTTATTTCAATCCTTTTCCATAACACATTCCAAATGAAAATCTACTTGAGTATTTTCCCGCTGGAAAATGCTCAAACCTTAACAAATTTTATAGCAAATGGACAAAACATGAATGCAAGGGACCTTTAACATAAGGAGAAACCTCTTTTAGAAGACTCTGAAACTCTGCATATGCTATATGATACTAACAGACTTTTTTGTGTGACATGGTTCAAACTTCAAACATCTTCCTCATAGCTTTCCCCTGACTCCATTGCTTTCAAGCCTTCAGCCAGCATCTTATCCCTGTTTTGTGCTTGTCTTTGTACAGCAACCATATACAGGCCTAGACAAGTAAAGTCATAAATACTAATAAAAAAAGATTATAATTGAACAAAAAAATTTATGAAAAAAGGAGACACATTGCACACAAAAATTCCAAGGTAGTTTGATAACAAGATCTGGGGAATGAAGATTCCATCAGAAAAAAGTCAAGAATGTTTACCGATAGCACTTCCAATAGCGCAAGCCCAAAGAATTCTCATGGACCACTTGTCCCCAATCACTCCTCTTGTTCCCATGGAATGAGTAAAGGGCAGAAACTTTGCTTCGAACTGAAGGGAAAGATGTCAAAGTTTATATACAACAAACTTAGCCAAAGAGAAACTAGCATAATTTGTTGAACAGTCAAAAGTATCCCATCCATTCAACACAAGCAAAACAATACAATGTTTAAGAGTGTTTTAATCATAATTTTTTCCTTTTTTCAATTTAAAAAATCAAAGTATCCTAGTACTAAGGCCTAGGCTATCTTTATTTTCTGTTTTCAGTGTAACCAAGAGGGGTTTCCCCTTTTGTAAGGAGCTATATTCCATTTTTTTTATCAGTAAATATCAGTTACCACCAAAGCTAACAGTTCCATCCATTAGGCTGGTGGCTAGGTCTCCTGCAAATCCATCACTGGATTTTGCATCTTTCTTGGCCCATCCCTAATTTCTTGGCAATCCAAGAAACAAAAAAACACTGTCTTAGTCATCAAAGGCAGAACATAGGGCACTAGTAGCAACTACCAATTGACATTCAGTGTCTCACTTATATCGTTCAAGTCCCGCACGTTTCCTCAACGCAAACCTCCCTACCAGACTATATAATGCACATTGGAGCAAACCCTACTTTCCATGAGCTTACAAAACACACAGAATTGGATTTGGACTGCTACACTGTATGTGAGAAAGTCATTGCGGGCCTCATCCATTTAATGCCCTATCTCTTCCAAGGCACAATCAGCAACATCCATACAAAACCGCTTGATGGTTCTCCATTCCATAATCTGCATTCCAAGCTGGACATGTAAGGAATACATGCTCAAGCATGCACGGGGATCTATCTTACCACCATAGCTACCAAAAACGTAGTGGCTGACACATCAGCCAAACCGAATACATTAACGGTGAAGGATTAGTTACCAATTCCCACCTAATTATAGATTATATTCATTAATGTACACTTAGTTACAAACTGTTGGTGTAAGTTGCTCTAGCTGTTACAAAGTTGAAACCCTATAAGAACCCTATACGAATTAACATAGTCGCATGATTACCAAATAAAATCTTCACAATAAAGCGGAAAAAGTTTAGGAATAAAAATAAGTAGACAGTAATCTAACATCTAAATTTTAAAATTTCAACCAAGTAGAAAGATAAGACGAGAAAAATGTTATGCAATTTGGCTACCAAATTAGACAGACCCCATAGATTGAACCCCCAATGATCAAGAACAACAACTCCAACAAAGTAGAAATAGCCAAATTCAAAACTAACCCCTTTATTTAAAACCAATTAAAATGACAGAATGTACAAGACCCATATCACTCTGAATCATTAGAAACCCTCCCCGACAATCAATGAAATGAGAAAAGGGGAGAAGAGAGAGTACCTCGGAGCTTTGGCTTTCTATACCGAACCTTTGATCACCGCCACGACAGAAACATAAGCAGAGTTGAGCACTGTCTCCCCCTAGCATCTACTGGTGGCGCAACACATGGTCTCATGTTAACGTTACAGGTGTAAGGTTGTCCACTGAGTTATTTCGGACGACCCATTTGGGGTTTCCACCCAAATCAGCTAGCCCATTTTTGTATATAAATACTTAGGCCCATAAATATTACCTCAACCCGGCCCAAAGAAGTTGTGTAACGCGAATTGAGTTGTTCCGAGAATTATTATTATTATTATTATTATTATTATTTTCTTTTGGGTGTTGAAATTGGAATGATCATTTATTTTTTGTAAAGTTGGGCTAACTCGACCTCCAGAATAAAACTATAACCTTAACCAGTCGACCCGTTTTAAAGCTCTGCACTTCAGGTTTTACATTTTTTTTTAACAAAATATTGAAATAAAGAAAATAAGGGACATTTAGAGCTTGTTTGGCATATATTTTCCGGGTCCATTTTTTCTGTATTGAGCCAAAACGATGTTGTTTTAAGAAAAAAAAAATTAAGGTGCTTTTATAATTATAATTTATTTATAGGTTATAATAATATTTAACATTATAATTTTTAATCTTTTAACTCAAAACGGTGTCGTTTTAGAAGTGAATGTAGATAACTTATCTGCATTCACTATAGAAGCATTATAACCATTTTCTTAACCTAAAAGTTATTTTCAATTAAAGTTAAAAATAAGAACTTAAAATATAAAGTTAAAAGCAAGTGTATCTTCTTCTTTCAGTTATATAACAGAATCTCCGTTGTGTAGTTGAAGACACATGAATTACTCACAAATCTTTGATATTCAACATACATATTGAATATAAAAACTAGAGAATATAAAACTTAAGAGTTTTTTTAAAACTCAAGCTAAAAATACATCGTTTGATAGAATAAATTATAGCTTTTTTTCTAAAAAGCAAGTGTATATTTTAGAAAACCTCCTGGAGCTTTCAGCTTTTTTTATTTTTCTTTATTGTAAAAAATTCTTTCCTTTCTTGATACATATAACTAAGCGTGTAAATCATATCGCGCATGGCATTATATTATACATATCTTGTATGGTATCGTACTAATAACTGCATTTTATATGAATTTTGGTTCGTTTGAATGAAAATAAAATTTGGGATTTTGCAATAGAAGAAAAGAATGAACAACCAATAACTCTCAACTTAAAAGCTTTACTAATGTCGCAAATTCTTGAAAAATCTTTGGGGGTCAGAGGACGTGCTTCTGTCCTCGGAGGCAGATTAGTCTCATCTTTCTTCCGATAGCGAAACTCAATGTACCCTCTGTTCCAATGAGAAGCTAGCCTTCGGGCCGTACTCTGAGAACAAGATGACCGGAAGAAGTTGAATGGAGATACTCTCCAGGTTGTACCAAAAAAAAAAAAGCTTTAATTCATTAAAAGAGATGCAATTTTTAGAAAGATTATAATTTTAAAGGAAACGGATAATGAATATCTTCTGTTTGTGCCTATGGCATGATAATCCTACATAACCCAATTGTCCAAAGGCAACTACACGAGCCCCACCTTTGTCCAGCGCTGTTATATAAACATATTTACAAGGTATGTAAGAACAGAACTACGCTGGCAAAAATAAACACCTTAACAAAAATCTAGCTCTTGTCATCATCAGCAAAATTATGCATGACATGTTTCATTGGGGTCCTTGTGTAAGTCTCTGCATCTCATTTTGGTCACTAAGAGTTTCAATGAGAAGTGGAGGAGCATATTGGGCAGACCCTTGATGCTCTTCAGAGTCCTGACAGAATGAGAGAACAATGGTATCAATTGACATCTCCACAACTGCAAAGAAAAGAGTTGCAACAATATATCCAAGAGCCCAGCAAACCTGCATCACACAAAATACAAAATAAGGTTCTAAAATTGTCTAAAATTCACATTTAATGGTGAATTAGTAGAGTCTAACTATATTAAGAGTAAATAATCGGATAACCAAACTACTGAATTACCATTTTTATTTTTATTACTTGTTTGCTTTTGTTAAATAATCAGAGCAGTGGTAAAGCTGTTCTTTTATGACTAAAAAGGTCATGGGTTCAAATCCAATAAATAGCCTCTTTGCAATTATGCAAGAATAAGGCTGCGTACAAGGATTACCTCTACTCCACACTCGTTAGTCGGGTTTAACGGAGAGTGATTTTTTGATTTTTGGTTTGCTTTTGTTAAATGGTAATTTTCTCAATCTTTTTTAACTTTTCATTTGAGTTCATCTACCACTGACCCCTACTAATTTGAGATAAAAGTGTTGTTGATATTGATGTTATTAAATGTGTTGAGATATATAAAACCATTATCGTAGCCTCACCTAAGAGCTTAAACTTTTGGGTTGAATTGGTTCTTTACATGGTATCAGAGCCTCGTGTCCCGGGTTCGATCCTCACCGCCCCCCACTTTCTTTCAAGTGGAATTTCTTTGTTCGCACAGGTAGGTGGGCCTGTGCATTGTCCACCCTTCAAGTCCAGTAGGCTTTCGTATGAGGGGGCGTGTTGAGATATATAAAAGCTTTTGGGTTGAATTGGTTCTTTACAAAATGGTAATTGATTTTGCTATTTAATATCTCAATTAGATTACGGAAAACATACCACAACAGGAAAGAGTGGAGATGAGGTCTTGTTATGGCCAGATCCGTACTTATGTGTGTCCAACATGAGGAATGCAAACACAGCACTTGAGAGGCTGACACATAGTTTTCCAAGGAACAAAATGACATCTCCAATCACATTAAGACGTCCAATCTTTAGAATGTTACTCATGATCAATTCTGTTGCAATAGAAGAAGCACTAAAGAAACTTTTTCCCGTTATCGCAATCTGCATGAGTCAAGAAGATAATTGAGGAGTTAAAATCAGAAAAGTCAAAAAATAAATAACAAAGTCTAACTTAAGACTTCTCCAAGAAATAGTCCAAAGCAAGATGCATTGTTGTAGCCTCAACTCTATTTATCATCATTCTTTTATTCTTTTGTGTAGAACTAAACTCACATTCTCTCCATGTAACCTCTGGAACATGTTTTGGTCTCTATGGCTATATTGAAGTATACCTTAATAAAACACATCCAAGAAAGGGAAATGGGATTCAGTCTCTCCCAAACATGCCAATCACAATGTCACAACTCACAAGTACACAAGAATGGGCTCTTACTTCTATTGGGGTCCTAAACTATATCCCTATTTGTTAAAAGAATTATTGCACCACAATAATAAACACGTGTTTATGCACAAGATGCATGCATAAAAACCTGCTTAATGATAGATCCTGTAGATAAATTTTTTTTACCATGATGTAAGCATTTCGGTTTACTGATTTGATGGTCCACTCAATACACCTGAGAAAACATTGAGAAGATTGATATGCAGCCTTGCCAATCCAGCTGTCAGGCTCATGACTAGACACTTTTAGTTTGCGACGAATAGATTCAAGCAGAAAGCGAATTGATTCCACAAATGACACAATCAGAGAGCCAAGAGCCACAGACCCAAGACTGTAACGCATAAGTCTCTTCATGGAGGAAAAGACTGAAAGAAATGGAATTTCTGGCTGCATTGAGAAACATGAATTATATTTAATAACATGGAGAACAGAGAATATTGTAAGTATCAAAACCAAAATGTTCAATTAATAGACGATCAAATTCAAATCAGCCAAACAAACAAGCACTAGTTCTAGCAGTTTGCAAGTTTGACCTGAATTTGTTTTTCAATATTAAGAAGCTACAAATTCGGCTTGAGTCCTTGACACAAGTAGTTTAATAATCTAGTTAAACCCAATCCTTCAGCCATTTTTCAATAATTTATGATGCTATGTCTTGTACTGATTCAGAACCATTTCTGAGCCAAATAGCAAACTATGGTGCTGCTTAGGCTGGGACTACATGTTGTTCAATCTGATAAAATTTGAGTTATGTTGACTGCAAAAAAATCCTCACAGCATTACTGAATCCTCTGAATTGCAATATTCATTTTGGACAAGGCATTGTAACTTACAGATGTTTCACCACGGGCCCAGTAATAAGAGGCAACAGACCCGGCGATCACTGTTGAGGAGCATGCTATGAAAAATTGTGTAGCCCAATAACCCCCAAAAAGGTGGAAAAGGATGGAAACTCCAATATGTGGTGTGTAATGAATACTGTATCCACAACAATGATCACAGTTCACCCGTTTTGCCAAAAGATCATACGTGCAGCAGTTAGAGTTGCAGTCATTCTGAACAATCTGGCCAGAGCTGAACAAATGGAGAGCAGCTGAAATCCAGAACATGTAAAAAACTGCAAGGATACCATATGGTATGAGTGGAAAAATAATGAGTGCTCGAACTTCTCCTATCACTTTTGCAGCAACCTGTGAACAAAATTTGCATTAAATCAGATGAATTGATTGAATTGAGTAATGGAAAGAATGCTGCATTATCATTTTACAGTTACTAGTGGTTCTAACATTGATGTGTTCATGGGAAAGTTAAGTGTAACAATTTAGTTAAAAAGTTGTTTAACATTGTTACAACTGGATGTGTAGACTCAACACATCACAAGGGGGTAAGGGCCACAAAAATGAAAAACAAAATGTTCCACAAGCCAGACATATATCATATATCAACAAAGAAAGTGTTATGGTTTATGAAAAATACAGTCGTCAGAGAGGAAGATAAAAGGTTAAGCATCCTTCAATGTCTAGTTAAAACAAGAGGAACACCGATCAAGTCTCTATGAACATAGTTGGATTAAACTGTGGATACTGCCATCGCCAATAGCATAGTCCTCATTAGCCAGTAATACATTACTTATGGTGTAGAAGCACTTGAAAAGTTAAGGTCAAAAAATAAATATCATATATCAATTCAATGAACAAAAATGAGCAATTTAATGATAGTTTAATAATTGCATATCATAAGGTGATGCTTGCCTTCAGGACAGATGTTGCCATAAGGATGCGCCGAACAATAGCAATTGAAGTAAGAATGGCAACAACCATGATAAAGGTCATAAGTACAGTGACAACACGTATATGAGTCAACTCCTGAAAGCAAAAT